ATTTCTTAATAATACTCCGGTACTAATCAGGTTTTATAATCTTAATTTGATTGGATCAGAAAATTTTAAAAATATTGATCGCTCAGAACTTGGTTCACTTTATATAACAGTTTGTCGCAACCATTTTTTGAGAAAAGGACACAGGTTTTATACCACTTCACTAGCACATAGCCCGGGCTATGCTCCGGGATCAACCACATTAGTTTATCTGATTTTTAGAAATCAACCCGATCGACCCGATTGATCACTATAAAAAAACCTGACGAAAGAAACTCTGATTTTATAATCACCGAGAATCGAACTTTAGTAGAGAGTTGACAAGAATTTTTGAAACGGTGCTTAACGGTAACGTTGATTTCATTAAATTTTTATTATTATGTATTCAGATACAAAACCACTACTAAATTCATATACAAAATTCCTCCTTAGTACCAAAAATGCTAACCGATAACCGTGAACCCCTCGCTAGTCCCTCTATATCCATTATGCTCACATTCTACTTCTAAGACGATGATATATCTCTTGCTGAGTTCGGTCCATGAATCATCAAGTTTAAGGGGATGGTGTCCTGAAGAGAATTGGCACTATTTTCGAGGACGAAGTTATTAGTAAGAATCCCTTGAAAATTGAGTGATGTATAATTACCTTTTCCAAGTGTCTAACAATTTCACTAGATCCGTATTTACAGACTTTAACTACGACCTCAGTTTCGGAATCAATAGGATCAACTTCAGAAAGAAAGGTTTCCCAGGTAATATCTAGGAGCGAATTACGTGCCTACGGACCATGATCAGGTAATCTAACGTTATTAACCACACCATAAGGAGCTTACGATGCCACAAAGGCGGCAAAGAATAATACAACTACTAGGAAGGTGGTTGAAAATCTCATCTTTCGTAAGATTATGTGGGATAAAGTTCTTGAGGTTCGAGCTGAGGAATAAAGATCAAGACCTCATTCGTTTATATAAGAGACTAGCACAAAGCCCGGGCTATGCTCCGGAATTAACCACATTAGTTTATTTATAATTCT